CCCGTCCAAGCAGGTGCTAATGAGCTCAAATCCAGCCCCCGGGTAAGTGTGGTACCCGCGTGCGAGTCCCCCAAAATTTTTCCCGCGTAAATTCATAACTCGAGGTTCTGTGATGCTAGAAGGCTGAAATATTAGGAGGGTGTTCTCTGTCTAAGTGGGTATCAACGAGTTCAAGAACGTGAGAAGCTAGAAGACTGGAATTTTGAGGGTCTAAGTGGGTATCAAAGAGTTCAAACTCGAGAACGTGAGAAGCTAGAAGACTGGAATTTTTAGGGGGTGTTTTCTGACAGTTCTGGCGGCCAGTCTGAAATTCTTTCAGCTAGAAGCATCTGCCGAAAAAACCGAGGTCGGTAGCAACAAAAACTGCGGGGAACTCTGCAAAAAACGCATCATCGCACGGGCAGCCCGTGCGTTGGCCATTTATTCTTTATGCAAAATTTATGATGATTTGTGATAGTGGGTGCACAAGTAGGTGTAAAGCAACAACCATTCATGCGTTTAACGATTTGATTACTTCAAGTTTGGTGCAAAAACGAATGATCGTACCGGCAGGCCTGATGCATTCCAGCGTGGGTTAAGATTATAAATTAAAGCTGTGAATTCTTTGCGGTTCTCATCGGTGCCAGTAAAATTTGCATGTTCTGAGTTTCAGGATTCGATAAATACAAATGCATGGTCGGTGACGCTGAACGATTCCATTTCTTTTGAGTGTTGCTTTATCAAACAAAAATTTTTTGATCGGAGAATTTGCTGAGCCTTAAAGGGTAGATTACTTTTCAAACAATAGCAGTTTATGCAAGCCATACAAAAACGATGCTTCGGATCATTACATAACTCCTTTCACTTGCGCCTTTGTAATACGTGAGCAGTTGCTTTGTTTGGGTGTTTGTACCCGTTTGGTTCTTTAGTCGATCTGCCGCGCAAACAGGATCACCAGACTCCGTGTTCGTTCGATCCAGGAAGCGGCCAGCGATACGGCAGAAGTGGCGGCGAAGCGGAACCAAAGCACTTTGTGATGCAACTTCCATTATAAAACATCAATCATTTGTGCGCCCTTCT